TATATATATATATATATAACTGCAACAACACCACAAACGAATAAAAAAATAGTCTGAAGAAGCTTCCGTTTAAACCGGTTCGAGATCAGGGAAGGAATAAGAATTTTTCCAGAATTCCCTTCACAGTCTTGGTGTAAGCCAGAGTCTGATTTAGAAAAAGGGGGGAAGGGTTGTCGATACAAAATTATCCAGGACTACTCTAATAGTATGATAGTATTTTCACAAAATGTTTTTTAATTACTGATACAATTTCTAAATTATAATATAGTAAATTTGAACTTATATTCGTTTCAGTTTTTGTCAACTCGTAATTTTAACTGAAAGTACCGAAGAAATTTATTTGAAGTAGTATTTAGGGCACGGATGGACAAACTACGGCCCGCGGGCCAACTGTGGCCAACCGGAAGGTTTCATCCGGCCCGCGGATAGAATTGTAGAACTTGCCGATTCGTTACGAATATAAAAAATATACATTATACATCTATTTCATATTCGAAGATACGGAATAGCATTTTTCACAGATCTTCTTTATCATATGAACAACTTGAATGTTCCGATGAAAAGGAAAAATCAATTCATTGGTGATATCTGGGCCCATCTCAAAGCTTTTAAACGGAAGCTTAATTTGTTTGCCGGACATCTAGCATAGAACGACTTGTCTCATTTCTCGAGGTTAAATTCAATACCCTCAGTAAATAAGGAGAAGCTTAAAAACTATGAGGATGACTTGAAAAAAACTCCATTTTTAGTTTCAGGTATCAATACTTCAGTGCCATTCAAACAGAAATAGATATTTTTACCATGCCTTTTAATGTAAATTGTGAAACACCGAGGTCGGATTTGCAGCTTGAATTAATTGAGTTGAAATCTAACAATCATCTCAAGCAGCTGTTTCTAAATGTACCAAAATTTGAGCTTTACAAATCATTACCAAAAGCTAGTTTCCCAAATTTAATAACTCATGCCAGAAAATAAGTGCTATGTTTGATTCATCTTATGTATGTGAACAAGTGTTTTCAACTTTCAACTATGAACCTTAGAAAAAATGATTTCAGAAGTAGACTAACAGACAAACATTTAGCCTCGTTCCTGAAGCTAAGTACATCTCACTTCGAACCTCAATACAAGGAACTTTTAAAAATAAATCGCAATTTTATTCATTTCATTAAATATTTAAATTAAAAATTGTATATTGTTTAGTTATTTTAAAAATTTTTACATTGCCAACCAAACTTTTCTTTTTCGATTTTTGGCCCTCGACCTAAAAAGTTTGCCCATCCCTGATTTAGGGGGCCTGACTTTTGAGGCCTTAAGATAAATCAGGCACGTGAGCAAATTCTATTGTCTTTCCATTTAATTTCCCGAATGAAATGAAACCTAGTTGGAGAACTGCTAGACGACTGAAGATACTTTTGAATCAGCCGAGTTCAATCTAAAATGAATTCTTGCTCTTACCTTTTATGACAGCCAATTTTTGAATTTTCATAAAAACATTTATTGGTTTTAATTACAAATATGACAAAGATGATGAATTTACATTAACACGATAGTTATAAAATGATGAAAAGATTGAGTAAGTTACGAGCGGGGGAAGGCCGCTTCTCTAGTTGTATTACATCTACTGTTTTATTTATTTATTTATTTAAGTTTTTGAAAAATAAAAAGTTAATACTTCTGCTGCGCCATCTGGAGATAGATTTTGGTTTCCCATGAGGGCTTGTTACTTCCTCCCACCTTGAGTTTTGGGCGACGAATGTCATGACGAAACTCAATTAGTCAATTCAAGTTTATAAAGTTTTCGACATGGTCGTAAGTATAATCCATGCCGAGTCTTTACACGCTCCACTCTTGTTTTTCCATCTTTGCCGGGGTAAAGAGCTTCTATTTTGCCCGAAAGTCAATTTATTCATTTATTGTTATCATTCCCTATGAGAACGACTTCTCCTTCTTTAACTTGAGAGTCTTTCTTTTTGCGGGCAAGATCCCTAAGGTGTCCTAAATATTCAATTCGGAAGTCCTCTCGAATTTTTTAACGATAGGCAAATCATTTTTTTATCCTTGTGGTATCAATTAGATCAATATCTGATACTCCTGATTCTTTAAGTTCGTGTAAGAACATAGCTGGTGTTAATGGTATCAGGTCCTCTAGGTCTTCTGAGATGTACGTAAGTAGTCGGGAATTTATGATGCGTTTAACATCACAAATGACTGTGTATAGTTCTTCATAGAGAAGGTTTGCTCTTCCAAGGACTCTTCGTAAAATTGATTTTAGCATTCTAATCATTATTTCAAAAACTCCACCCCACCAGGGTGCAGAAGGAGGATTGAACTTCCAGTGAATCTTTTTCGAAGAAGCAAAATCTTTTAGTTTTTCGAAGTCTACTGATTTCAGATCTGCAGCAGCTCGAGTCAGATTTGTACTGTTGTCAGAGAAAACCGTTGCTGGTCTTCCTCGTCGTGCTATGAACCTTCTAAATTCCAACAAAAAGCTATCCGTGGAAAGTGAAGTAACTAATTCAGCATGAATGGCTCGAGAAGCGGGGGAAGGCCGTTTCTCTAGTTTCATTACATCTACCGTTTTTTTTTTTTCTTTTTTTGAAAAATGAAAGGTTAGTACTTCTGCTGCGCCATCTGGGGATAGTTTTTGGTTCCCCATGAGGGACCAGGAGTTGGCACTTGGCTCCGCCTTCATCATGTGGTTCATCCGATGATACTATTTCGATATTTTTGGGAGAAGGATGTAAGCAATCCTGAGCAAGGTTACTATTTGGCGATCGTATGACAAAAATATTTATATCGCAATCTTCATGTGCATTTTTTTAATATTAAATATTTCATAATTTTGATGATATTTTTCTCTTTTGAATAAATAGTTTGTCCCTTTTGAGACATTTGCTGGGAAAACAGACGTTTTTAAATTTAAAATATATTTAATTAGCTAGAGTAACGAAAGGTATAATAGCAGATGATAAAGCGAAGTAAGTGACTGAAAAAGTATTTACTGTTTGCGTTTGGCTCGCATTAAGGGTTGTCTCATTTTCAAGCGCGGAGATGTTTCTGCTGTAACTCCTGTGATGAAATGAACTCTGCGTCCGCGGAGGTGGAGCCAAGTGCCAACTCCTGGTGAACGAACTATACCAAGGCCCGTTGTCGTGGTGAAGTGTCGGATCGGTTATACCTCTAAATAATTATTTAAATAACGGTCAGGAGTTCAAAAATTCAGTGACATGCTTCATATTTTTATTACCTTGACTGCCTTCTAACACGAACTTTATCGCTGAACAGAAAATGTCGGAAAAGTTTAACACAAAACTTGATATCCCGTAGTCTAAAATCGTGGTAGCTCAAGAGATATAGAGCGCTTGCCTCGCAATCAGGTGACTCGGGTTCGAATACCAGTGATGGCAGAAGGATACGAATTCTGCTCCTGACTCACACCGTCAGAAACGCTGACGCAGTAACAGACAGATCATGGTTTAGTATAAGTTTTGGGTAAATCATGGGAGGGTTTCGTGGTTTTCCTCTCCAAATAACACAAATACAGTTTAGTACTAGCGAAAAGTCCTCCACGAACGCGAGTTTGCCCGACTGTTTGATCCAAGAATAAACTTGTTTTCCGGGCTGGATATAAAATTATAAGGAAATCATAAAATAAAGTGTGTGATAGTTGTAACACCAAAACTGGATCGGCTGTTCATTCAAAATAAAATAAGATATGCCGCAGCTTATGATGGCAATGCATCTATAGCTGTGGGCAAAATTAGGAAACTTTGCTACTGGCCAAAGGCAAAGTTGTAAACAGAGTAAAGAAAGACTGTTGCTACTAATAACATAGGATATTTCTCTTGAAACATTTTTGAAAATGTGGTAAACATAACAAGTTTCCTAAATTAAGAAGAAATTTTCGAAGCTAGCTTGAAATACAGTAGTTTTCAGAAAATTATAAAATACTCATGATTCCATATTCATTAAAAAAATAAAAATTCGGCGAAAAATATGTTGGTCGGGAGGCAACTGGTAGTTTTTCACCATTTGTTACGATTTCGTTTCCCTGTGGTCGACTGTTCATTTTGCCCTTTTAGAAAAAAAAATAAGCAAACTGCAATAATCCTCCCTGGGCAGAAAATGTCGTTTCATTCAAAACTTGATATCCCTTGGAGTACCCGGAATACCAGGTGATCGAATTTCAGCGATGGATAAGAATTCTACTGATTACAACGCTGATGCAGATTGTAGTTTAGAATAGACAAACCTTGGGAGGGTTTCGTCCTTTTACCTCTCCATATAACACAAATATGGATGAGTACTCATAAAAAGTCTTCCACGAAGGCCATCTTGTCTTCTGGGTTGGATGGGGCTACGGAGTTAAAACTCTAAGATAAAGTGTATGATAGTTCTAAACCAAGAATTAGATCGGCTGTTATTTTTTAGATAAGGTATGCCTCAGCTTATGCATCGAGCAAAATTAGAAACTTTGTTACTGGCCAGAGGCAAAATTGCAGTTTTTTTTTTGAAGCAAAAGATGACTGTTGCTGTTCATAACATTATTCAGAACACTCTTAAATGAAGAAAAAATTTCTGGAAACAAGTGTAAATTACAGAAGTTCTCGGGTCCCGCAGTGGACTGATCGTTAAGACACGGTTACCAGCAGAAGTCAAGCATCACTGGCTGCGGGTGGGTGACCACTTGGATCAGTCTGCGTAGGGACGGAGGGTGAGCGGTATGGGTCCTCGTTAAACTGTGCTACCGTAAAGTGCTCGACTTCACGCGCAGATCGTCTGGCTACCGAAGCGGGGGAGCAATCCACTCCGCAGAGGATCAAAATTGCGTCTTCGGATCATCCTCCGGGATGTTTCCCAAACCGTCGCCAATAGCCCATTGTTCAGCTCTAGTGCGACGTAAATTAACAATAACAATAACAGAAGCTCTCAGAATATACATACTCATGATTCCATATTTATTAAAAAATAATTTTGTGAAAAGATGCACATAAATGGCATTTTTAGTAAAAAAAAGTTTTAAAAATTGGAGAAAAAAAAAATTTCGGTAGCGTAGCAAATGTCAAAAAAAATTTTTTTTTTATATCGTCATTTGTTATGTTTAGTCGGCCAGTAGCAACCGTTCATTTTGCCCTATACTCCTCTTTTTTTTCCCAAAATGAGCCAAATAACCCATTTCAACCAAAATAGGCTAATTACAATACTCCTCCTACTCTTACACAAGAAAAAGCCCTTCTCTTTGTTTTTTAACTTAAAACTTTTACCGGAGCAATCTTATTTTCTGATTAAATTCTAATAAAGGATGTAACGCGAAACAAAATATGCGTTTTATTCCTTTTGAGTAGAATAATTGAGAGAAACAGCAGTAATAATTACACGTGTACAATAAAAAAAAAAAGATATCACTCTGAATAACTTTCGTTCTAGTAATCGGATTTTCAGGAACTAAATGTCAATCTTAATGGTTCGTGGGGGTGCCTACAAATATGCAAATTATTCAGTACTAACTATTAGTTAAGTTACGAAATCGGCCACAACAACGTACTTTCGATGAATAAACATATATTTTTTCCCTGACGGATTCGAATTTCAGACCTCCAAAATAGAGGNTATATATATATATATTATATATATGTGTGTAATGTTATGCCTTTAAAGGCTAGATAATTTAAGAGGTTTAGGCGGCTTCAGATAAAAAGGTATTTTATTATTTTATTACGTGATATTAAGTATTGAAAACAGTGTTCGTTGGCTATGTACAGGGATGGTTTCCTCATTGCAGGGATTGTTTGGTTTGGCCCAGATTTATCGAGCTATGGAAAATATGAAAAAGACATGCATTTTTGCCTGTCCCGAACTTTTAAAGTGAGGTTCTGAAAGGGAGTGGTTGCAAGGATCTTCTTATCTTCTTGAAACGTCATTTAATTGATAAAATTTAGAGACTTTGATTCGCTAAAAGGATATCGCCACTCTGACGGTGGGAAATTTTTAGGACTATCTCAATGTGCATTTCATCGACGAATTATTGCCCATTAACTTCACAAAAGAATCTTTTATGTGGCCTTATCTGGTTCATCTTGACTTTTTATGACTCTTTGTGAGAGACCGACTTTTACATCTTAAACTTAATAAGAAACATATGTTTTCAGCTTATCAGTTAATATAGAATGATTCGCATGAGAAATTCTATATTACATATATATATATATATATNTATATATTTATATTAACATATTTGGATTCTTAACCTTCGAAATATAAGGCGTAGCCGCAATCTGGGAAATAGGGTCCCCAGTTAGATCAGGAGAGCGATCCAAAGTTCGAACCCCTTAATGTTACTTTCACTTTTGGCGTTTTTAGTCATATTTTTGAAACTAAATAAGCAATATAATAAACAAAACTGCACTCACTTATAAAACCCATTTACCTAAAGATAATTTCATGCAAAAAATAATTTTTAATAATTATTTATTTTTATTACTTAATTTAATTGTGGATGAAAAAATTTTGAATTATGATATATAAATTTTTTATACCATATTAATCTAAATTTATCTTAATTAATCTAAATTTAAAATTAATTGTTTTTAGAAAATAATTTAGCGACAATGAAGAAATACTTAAATGGGGCGGTTAATCTTTAAACTTACGAGGAACTTACTCTCGAGTAGAGTAAAATTTCATTCATATTTTTGTTCTCTAATCCTTTTTTTTAAATTATAAAATACTATGTTTCTTTTTTAGTCTTCTAAAAATTTGTTCATAATTTAATAAAAAGATTTGAATAAAACATTTTATTAGATAGGAACATTATATTATGAATGTTGAGTTTTATTGCAGTACGTTTCTGATAAAATGTGCTTTTTTTAATTTTATTTGTCGGTTTGCTCTTTCAATAATTGATACAATTTCAATAGATTTGGAAAAATATGTTTATCAATTTCTTCAATATATATTTCATAATTATTAATGCGAATACATAGTCAACATTTTTAAGAATCTTAAAATTTCGCAACATCTTATACATCGTTTTAATCTTAAAATAAATTTGTTAATTTCCTGTCTGTTTCGCAGAATTATTTTTCCAACTATTCAATTAAATTGTAACATTTCTCAAAATCTTATTCTTTATAAATGTTCAGCTGAATGGAAAAATTGGTGTGATTTTCTTTAGTCTATATCTTCTCATTGTTGCTTCCCTTTTTTACTTGTATGTGTGGTGAATACCTTTTTCATTGTTTTGGGCAAGCTTTCTATTATTATATTGGAAACATCAGCTTATTCCATTTATCTTAAATGTTAAGTTGTATCTGGATATAGCATGACTTTATCGTATTTATCTTTAATTTATTTTAGTTTCGCCCTTCTTCTAAATTTGGTGATTCCGGTTTATACAATTTGTTCAAACCTCACATTTTTGTGACCCTTTGAACCTAATGGGTTATTTTTATCCCACAATTGTATTGTACAACCACTTTCCTTAACGATCACATTCCCCTTAATTTAATAATTACCTTTTATATAATTTCGGCTTTAATTTAATTATTATGAAATTCAATCTTAACTATTTTTTATCATGACTATATCCAGTGATACATCCAATTATGTAACCCATCTATCCATTTTAATAATAATATATAAATAACTTATCGAATTCGCACTATTAATTATTTTTCATTAAACTGTTACAATCAACATAGTCAAAGAAACTAACATTTTTAAAGATTTGAAATCATTTTTTCAAAGAACGCATCTCTAAAAATACTTCGGCAAATAATGAAAAAAATAATTTAGCACAATTAATGAGTTAGTTTATCAGCAATTTAAAATTCGATGATAAAATTGATGAGTTTTTGTAAAAATCAACTGCTACAAATCAACTGAAATAAAAGAACTAATAGGAAAAGATCTATATATATATTTCTCTTTCACGGCTACAAAAAAAAAGCCTCAACTCTCCGAATGGCAACGCTAGAAAATCGACCAATGATTGCCGATAAAAATGTCACATGCCAAATATAGCTGAGGTAGCTCAACATATCGTGCTTTCAAAAACGGAGACTGAAATAACCAGAGAGAGCATTCTCACCTGCGGCAATCTCATACTATTAAGCTAGGCAGAAGTGAGTAGTCTTTGTCGATAGATCTCTATTTTAGTATTTTGTCGAAAGCGCTTTTTTCACGAATTTATATATTACGAATTTATTTGACGATTTCTGATTTATATCACGAATCTATTTGTTTTATTATTGTTATTAGTTATTCATTGAAAAATGAGTCTCAGTCGTGCTGTTACTCTTCAAGATTTTATATAGCACATTTCTAATAGGTTTAACGAATTACATGTCATTTATTTGAATTCAAATTTATTTTAATGACTTAGTATTTACTAAAAAGATGTTATTTTTTTTAAAAAAAAAAGTTGTTATATGGATTTGAATGATTGTTGTGAATTCTTAGAATTCTGTGCATTTGAAATGTACGTAAGTTAGTAGCGAGCGAAGCGAGCTTGGTTTGCGAAGCAAACCATATAAGATTGCTTAGCAATTTTCGGGGGTTGGCGAGCAGGGGGCGCAGCCCACTACTATATAAAAGTTTGCTACACTGCACTATATACATGATTTAGATTAAATAATCAAAATCTAAATTTAAAAAACATTTATTTGTTCTACATAATTTTTAAATTCAAAAAATGAGAAGTTTTATGGCATTTAGCTTATTTATGTTTTACAATGTTAGTAATATTCAAAATACTTAAAAGTTATCCACTTAAATCCTATAAGAAGAAATTCGAACATTTTGATTCTATTTATATATATATATATATATATATTCATNTATATATATATACATATTTTAATGCCACTTTACATTTACCAAGTTTATATACTGTGAATTTTATAAAACCTTCTGATTGGGCATCAGAGTCGCTGTATTTATCAGGCCGTCCAAATTTTTTGCAGGATCTTTTTTTCTTTCTTCTTTTCCTTACCTATAAGACTAGAACTGAGGTGCAAAAGCAATTAGCCCTACAACTCTTCATAAATTTATAATAACTTATGTAAATTTGGTTTTAGTACGAAGTTTTCATACAGATAACGTTGAAACAGCTTTTAAAAAATTTAAAAAAATGTATGATAATAAGTTTAAATTTTAAAATCTTGGAAAATCATAAATAATCTATTAATTGATTCAAATTTTATTTACAAAGGATTAAAAAGAAAACTCTGTTTTCCTTGCCCAGAAAGCAGATCCTAAAATTCTCCTCTTGGTTGCTTAGCAACAGAGATACACTTTGTTATGCATTCAGTTTCTTTATGGTTGTTTTCAATTGTTTTATTTTCTATGGTGGAAAATTTGGCATTTCTTTAAATTTTCTCCATATATATAAACCTTTATTGCAACCCAATTTTAAACCCAATTTTTTCGAAATTTTGTCTGTATTTCAAGGGTCAGAATTCCAAATATGTTTAAAAAAATATATGTTTATTCAGAGAAAGTACGTTTTTGTGTCTGATATCGTAGCTTAATTCATAGTCAGCACTAATGAATTAGCTTATTTGAGGTTACCCTCAGGAACCATCAAGATTGACACTTGATCGTGAAAATTGGATCATTAGAACGAAAGTTATTTTGGGTGATATCCTTTTCTATCTTTTGCCGACTGTACATTACTCAACAGTATGAATTTTTGATAATATTTTTTTTTAATTACAGTTGCAGTTTTGGATTATTTTAGCATACATTATGTGGAGTAAGCTGTCAGGATGTGAAGTGATAAACGCCTGGAATATGGTCATCATCGTATTTTTGTTTATATTAATGCTTTTATTTGCTGACTTTTATTCTAAGAATTATAGAAAAAAGAAAGAATAAAATATGTTTCTCACTATTTCAATGATTTTTCTCTCACTATTTCTAGTGAATTACACTGAATGTATAATTTTTAAATTACCTTCTGTATATTAAAAAATTGCAAACGCCACCGCCTCTGTTTTGGGTGTTTAACTTAACGTTACATTTTGTTTTGTAGAGTAAAAACTATAAGATTTAAAAACTTGAAATTACGAAAGGTGTAGAAAAACGTGCAGCAAGTTTCGATAATTCGAGCATTACTATTAAACTTGGAGTCCGGATTGAAATAGAAAGAGGTCATCATGATTTTACCGTCCTGGAAGAAAGAGTGAAAATGTGTTGTCAATTGAAAGCAATGATTCATTTTACATTGGTAAAACTGTTGACTTTGTTTTACCATTAATGAGGCACTTGTTTAAAAATAAAAACTAATAAAAGTTGACGTATAAAAGCGCACACTTTTTCATTATTGGAAAATTAAAAAATTACTGTTGAAACTTGATGATAAACAAAACGTCCTGAGCATTGGGTGGGGGGGAGATGATCAAACCAGTTCTCCACTTCGAAGGATAACGCACCATATTTTAGATCAACATATTCTCGACAATCTTGAATCAGTTGATGAAAATTTTTAAGGATATTTTTCATAAGCTAATTTTTCCAACGAAGGCATGCCTTTAAGGCACGATTTTTCAGCCATAATAGTCTGCCGGTGGAAATTTCCTGTCAACTTGATGTGAAGATTCCTTCATATCAGGCTTTTGTTTTGATGTCATTGAAACCAGGATTTGATGGCTGATATGTCTTTTCTTTCCTGGAGCGACAGCTTTCATAACAGTCGACATTGCAATAATAAATTTCGAAGTTGCATTCTCGTTGAATGCACCTCCGGATTTATCGTCACGGAGGTGTCTTCTTTTTTCTTGAAGACCGGGTTTACATTATTTTCTTCCAAGACGTCCGAGCAATGAAACGTCAGACACATATTTCATAGGATGGTAGTCTCTTAAACTATAATCTCCACCAGATGTATTTTTCCATGAACGTTGTCTCCAGTCATACTCCTGCAGTACAACGTGGAGTGGATAAATTTTTCACCTAGTTTCTGATCCAAATCTGCTCTGATGATGGTGACGTTGGGTTATATATAAACTATCATACAGCATGAAACTGGATAAACATGCCATGCCCGGTAACCAGACTAGGCCATGACCTGGGGCCCCCAATGATTAGGGGCCCCTTATCACTGGGGGCTTGGAAAATAAATTTTAAAAAACAATGATTTTTTTAAAATGTTATGATTATTTTTTAGTTCTATTTTAATAAAATAAAGTAAAATTTAATTTATTATTATTTATTTTAATTTTACGTATGCTTTCTTAAATGAAAAGATATATAAATACTTTCATATTTGAATAAATGAAAGATATGCGAGAAAAAAAGCTAATCTGAAGGCTTCAAGAATTTGAATGGCCTAGGGCCCCGCTTACACTTAATCCGCCCCTGCCTGTAATGAAAAGTCCGTATTGAAGTTAAAAGTTCTACCTTAATCTTGCGTAAGAAGACGGGAGCTATACCCAGATAGCAAAATAAGGTTTTTTTCACCCAACAAAAACCTTTTCATGTAAACCTAAAAAGGGTTTTTACACGGTTTACGTGTAAACCTTCTAACCTTAAAACGAGGTCTGCGACAATCTGCTCTATTCTACGCACATTACCCTAATCCAAAACCTTGGAAAACAACCTTAAACCGAGGTTGTCTTAGGGTTTTCACGTGGAAAAAAAACCTTGAATAACGCTAGTTCTAAGATGAAAATCATCCTAAATCTACATAATTATAAGGTTTCCGTTTGCAGCGTTTCGTATGCTCAGCTGAAATCTACCTTGTCATGAGATTTTCATTGACAATGCAATTTAATGCTGTTGCTAGTGTACGTCAGCTAAAACGTCATTCTGAACGTGATGTCATCTCTCCCACGATTGTATGACTGCGCGTTTCATTATTGGTTTTATATTTTATTTCTTATAGCTTCTCAATCCGAGAAAAATTCTCCATTCCATCCATTTTGCTTGATTATTTTGGGGGAAATAGTCATTTTGTATCAGTCTAACTTACTTTGCTGTAAGAACTTAGAAATTTACAAGTTAAAATATCGCTTAATATGAAATTTTTTTTATTTGACGATTTGATTAATGAAAACACAAAATAAATAGAACAAATACTTAAAGAGGGTCTGCATATTTTCGTCTTTCTTATTCGAAAATTTATGCGGTGTGAGAAGTTTTGATGAGTGCAAACATTTTCAGTTTTTTGTATATCAAAGAAAATTAACATGAAATATCTTCTTTTGTCAAAATAAATAAAATACAACTGACTATTTACCTCTTACTTAATATATATGATATGATAAATGTAGGGAATTTAATGATAACAAAATATTCTTTTAAAAAAAATCGTTTAATGAATGTAGAAGTTCCAAACATATTTTTTTTAACACACAACAACAAATAAATATTATGATTATCATAACAATTAGTATATGACAAGTGCATTTGTACAAATCAGATATGCCATAATTATATTAGGTATTTTGTTAATATATAAAAATATAATATGTATAATAACCATTAGTGAATAATACAAAACAGATACACCATAATTAAATCAACTATTTCGTCAATATATAAACAAATGATATTATAGGTATAATAACCACCAGTGAATATACAACATATTTAACATGAAGAAATTAGCGAAACAATCCTCTTTGAAATAAATTACTTCCTCGTCAGATATTCTCCTTTCTCTGAAAAATAAGAGAAAATTTTTGTGTGCGTACTTGCGTATATTGAATGAAATTTTATGCATATACACATGAATTGTATGTACATACATAGACACAAACGTATATTGTACCTACAGGAACGCATGCATACATTATATGTATACAGGTGCATATACACGTATAAATAAAAATGCATGCATACACACGTATAAGTAAAAATACATGCATACACACGCAGTATATAATTATATTTATGTGGTCACTTTAAATATCGTTGTATGAATAACATTGTTATTAAATAGTACATGCATATAGTACATGCACACGTGAGTACATTGTATGTCATATGA